AATTATTAGTTAATTCTGACCGTAAGAGGCTACATATACGATTTAGGTTTATTAAATCACATTTACGTTACTAATCAAGTATTTTAAGTTATTAACAGGAAGGAAATCCGCTTCTAACTTACAGTCAGACGTTATAGAACATCAACGCTGCGGGCAGTTCTTCTAAACTAACATTAACGCTATTACTGACATTTTGGTTTGCATACAAAAATAAAGATTTTTCACTTACAAAGATATTTATGGCGAACTTTACAGACAGCGACGCAAGGCGAAGGCGCCCTCAAAGTTGCTCAGAGAACTGAAAGAGTTCTTCACAAAATGGCAGTTTGTGGTTGTTTTTCGCGGTCATTTTGTATTACTGTATTTAAATTTACAGTAACATGTCGCAAACTACATTGAAAGAGTATTGTACACAGCCTATACACTAGTAAAATGTTGAGTATACACCTTGAATATCGAAATCGCGGTCAGCTATTCTAAACTAACATTAAATTTATTAGCTAGAATGTCTGTATGCATGAAAATATTAATATTTATTACTCACCAGATGAAGCACGTTTCCAGGTCGCAGAGAAGACACCATGTTGCCGACATTACAGGAAAAACTCTTTCAAATGTGCTCTCATGCACCCCCCACTGACAGAAATTAAAGGGATAGTTCACCCCAAAATGAAAAAATCATAATTTATGCACCCTCATGTTGTTCCAAACCTGTATGAGTTGCTTTCTTGTGTTGAATATAAAAGAAGATATTTTGAAGATTGCTGGTAATCAAACAGTTGGTGGTTCCCATTGACATCCATAGTATTTTTTTTTCTTACTAGGGAAGTCAATGGGAACCACCAACTGTTTGATTACCAGCAATCTTCAAAATATCTTCTTGCATGTGCATGGCACCCAGTCCTGAATTTTTTGTATGTAGGAATAGCAATTTTGCCTGCAAAATTCTGTGTGGTGTTTTTCGGGTCAATTTGCACTGCTGTATTTAGATTTACAGTAACTGATAATTTCCCAGAATGCATTGAAAATCTACAGTAACATACTGTCAACCGTGTGCACAGTACTCAACTGTTGAGAATACAATATAACACTGTGAAAACAACAAAATCTACAGTAACACACTGTACACAGCTTATACAGCAAGAAACTGTTTAGATAAACAGTATAATACTGTGTAAACAACAGAAATCGTTTACAGTGTAGTTTTACTGTAAAAAAATGTTTTTAAAGATGGATAGTTCTGACCCTAATTCTGATTAAACAAGATTTAAGATGTGAAATGCTGATTAAATGGCACACACCTGTGAGCACATATTCTATAGGGAGATATTGTAACACATTTTTTTTTTGTGCTATTTGTAAATTAATGTTACAAACAGCGCTGTTGCCACAACCTTCCCACATGAGTGTAACACTAATAGAAAACCAGTGATAAAAAACTACAAAATGCAACTAAAGTTTAGAGTTTAGTTGCATTACAAAAATGCAACTAAACTCAAACGTCTTAATCTGAAGTGACAAAGTTATTTTTTTCTGCAGGGTGGTAGTCATTTATGATGGTGGTTTCACTCCTGCAACTCTTTCTAGTTGGTAAAACTGATGATCACGTTACCGTACTTATGGTCTCGCCTATTAATGCACCAAACTTCTATGTTGTCAATCATATAAGTTTCTTTGCAGTTTAATGTGATTTGTTGTGCACAGTATGTTAATGTAATTCATGCTACAGCAGCTAGCAAACAAATTTTTTTTTTAAATGTTGGACATTGTGAGTAGTGTTGCTACAAATGCAACTTACATTTTTTCTTTTTCGATAATACAATGAAAAAATGTAGCGCAGGGCAGGTCAATACACGGAAAGAAAATCTATTGCTACTTCTGTTTGTTTGGGGTTTTTTACCTAAAAATATAATTTCATATATATTCAGATATGTGCTGTTTAATATCCATTAGTTACCATAATAACCATAAAATGCAAAACAATGAAAACAACAAATTCTTGTACCTTAATTTATCTAAAAGCAGAATGAGATTTAACTGTGATTTTCTGTTGTTACACTCAGTTTAACTGGTAAGATCCTCAGAGGGGAAGTTTTGCAGAGATTATATAAGAATGTAAAGACAGTCTCTGTGAAGGTTGTTGTGAATGAGCAGAGACAGATGTTAGTTAGAGGATCAGAGAAGGACACCTTTCCTCTGTCACAGTCCAGCTGAACTCTCACACGCTGCAGCTTCTCTTTAACTGTAATGCGAGTCAAGGGTTGATCTGAGGATTGTGAGCTGTATCTGCTGTTCCTGTACTGCACGCGCCAGACATTAGACTTAAAGAAAACGTCTCCCTTCCTTTGGTTTGATGCTGTGGTTATTCCAACAATCCAGTAAGTATTGTCTCCAACCTCTACATCCCAGCAGTGTGTTCCTGAGTTAAAGCCCTCAGAACCCAGAACACATGGATACTTGTCAAACCTCTCTGGATTATCAGGAAGATTTTGATATACATTACTGTACGACACACTGGTCAAATCAGAAGAGAGTGTGAGCGAATGAGCTGCTGTGTTTGGATCTAGAGTCAGCGGAGCTGCAAAGAGAATAAAATCAGATTAGAGGATGAAATATGATGGTATTAGAAATACAAACCTATTTACATAAACAAACACCATGAAGAATAGACTGTGTTTTGTAGTCATTATGAGTTTGCAGTATGATCTGATGATTTTATGAAATACAGTTCAGATTCACTTCAAATTCATAGAATTTAGTGTGATTATTAGATGTATTTCTATCAAATGTTGATCTGTCTGTCTTTGTTTCTTATTTAATCTTTTGTACTCGTGTCTGGAGACTCACTGTGTTGGAGAGTTTCCTGCATCTTCCTCCAGACTCTGAACCGCAGGTCACTCAAGTAATGTGACACATGAATCAAAGCTCCAGAACTCATCTGTGGATCCGGCTGTGAGATCTGGACTCTGGAAGAACATTCAGGAGTCAGAACTGCAGTGGATTTGAGTTCAGATCCACTGAGAGAAGAAACACCAGCAGCTCAACTTACCTTTCCATCGTGATGCTAAAGTCCTGGAAAACAGAGAGTTTGAAAAGCATTTTAATATCATTTTAATAAACAAGATCTGATTAACGTGAATCTTATCATTAGTCTTCTCCAC